GGATGAACGATATTAGGCTTCCTCTGCATCAGTTAGACTCAACGTTGTACGTTGTTGCAGCAAGATTTGTTTACCAGACAACATATTGGCTCAGACAGTATTGTAAATGTGGTTCGCAAATTCTCATGGTCCCTTTCATTATCCCTCCCTCTTGTTTTGTTCCTTGTCATCTTACACTTCCTTTCTGTCTGTTTCTCATGCATTTAGGAAGTCTGATGTAGATGCTGAGCCAGAGGAGAGCCCAGGGAGCAGCAGTAGCAGCAGCAGCAGTGGGGCTGTAGATGCCCTCTCTACAGCTCCAGCCCCAGCCCCCCCTCAGGCCTCTGCAGGAGAGCCAGGACAGAGAGGAGACAGCTCCTGCTCTGACTCCGACAGTACTGTAGATTCCAGTTCCTGCGAGGAGGAGGAGGAGGAGGAGGAAGAGGAAGAGGAGGGGGAGGAGGAAGACCCCACTATGTTCTCTTCCAAATTCCTTAGCGGGGCCAACCCCCTAAATGCCGTGTCCTCTGCTGTAAATAAGTTTGGTTTATTTGGAGATGATGGGGAGGGTAATAAAAATCAGAAAGCACCCTCACAGCAGGGGGCGAAGCCACCTGGAGAGCAGCAGCCTGGAGCAGGACCTGGTAAAGGCCCTCAACAGCAGCAGGCACCCCAGAAATCTGGCCAGAGCCCCCTTTTGCAAAAGAGCCAACCTCTCCCTAAAAAAGAATCACCACAGCTGCATGGGAATGGACAGGCTGGACCCCTAAACAAGCCTGGTGGGCAACAAGCTTCTCCAAAGGCAGGGACACAGCCTGAAGGCCAGCTTAAAGGAGAGCCGCAAAAAAATCAACCTCATGGTTCACCTACGCCTGGAGTTCAACAACAAACTAAAAGTGGAGCACAACCAGAATCTCCAAAGGCATTATCACAACAGGTTCCACCTAAGACAGGAATGCAAAAACAAGGGCCTAAAACTGGTGCACAGCAGCAAGAACCTGCTAAGACAGGGGTGCAAGAGTCCACAAAGGTTGGGTCACAAAAAACAGGATCACAGCAAGGGTCACCCAAAGTAGGACAGCAACAGCAGGGCTCACCAAGAATTGGACAGCAACAACAGGGCTCACCTAAACTTGTACAACAACAACAGGGCTCACCTAAGGTGGGACAGCAGCAAGGCTTCAGGACTACAACCCAGCAGCAGTCCTCTGATAAGCCTGGGACTCAGCAACAAGGCCCTAAGGGTCCTGGTACACCTGGCTTGTCCCAGGCAAGGTCTTCATCACCAGGAGCAACCAAAGCTGGATCTCAGTCAAAAGCAGTGGCTAAGTCCCTTTGCCCAGTGTGTAAGACAACAGAACTTAATATGCACACCAAGGAACCACCTAACCATAAAACCTGTACACAGTGTAAAACTGAGGTGTGCAGCTTCTGTGGCTTCAGCCCTCCAGACTCAGACGTAAGTAGTGGTTTAGTATTTCACTTGTGTATCATTTCTTTTATATTTTCTTATGTTATGTCTTTAAAATATATATTACAGCACATACATTTTGTCATGAATTTTATATGGTTGTGTTTTTATTGACAAATAGAAATTATTGTGCTTTTTAGTGCAATCGTAATAGTGTGGTCTTAATTGGTGAAAGCTGATTCAACATGAAACTTTACTGCATATATGATTATATTTTTACTATCGTATATATCGTATATATACAATAATTATAATTATTATACAAACTATTTAACACCTTTCTCATGCTGTCTTGAGTTAGTTAACAGTTATAAATGTTTTTTGTGCTGCCACATAGCTATATTTGTCAAGTGTTTTTTTTTAAATAAACTGTATGTTTATGTTGTGTTTATTTCTTGTTATTTGTGTGCTTTAATATTTCAAAATGATTTACGTATGTTTGTATCTTTTATAGGGGCTTGAGTGGCTTTGTCTTACCTGCCAGATACAGAGAGCTCAAGGAACTTCTGACCCGCGGGGACCTTCCCTCAGAAAGGCCACACCCAACAAAGTTTCTGCCACTCAAAACCAGGCACCATCTTCTGCTGCAGCTGTCAAAAAAGACATGTCAGCACCAGGGTCACCTCAGAAAATGCAGTCTGCAGCATCTGCAAAAGTGCCAGTCAAGGGTGAAGCTGCTAAAGGACCAGAGAGTCAAAAACAGGCCACCCCAGTGTCTGTTCAGAAACTGACACCTGAGACCAAGAGAACATCAGTGTCTCAAAAACCAGACCAGACTAGTCAAACTGCACGCAAGCAAAGTGCCACCCCAGCTCCCCAGCAGGAGTCAGGAAGTCTATTTGGCTTTGGTGGTGCCAAAACTGAAGCTGCAAAGCCTGAAGAGTCAGTGACTGGAAAGATGTTTGGTTTTGGTTCCTCCATTTTCAGTTCTGCATCTACTTTGATAGCCTCAGCTGTTCAGGATGAGCCTAAAACCACACCACCAGTTTCTCCCAAAATTCAGAGTACAAAGGAGAGCAAACCACCTGCTTTCCAAAAGTCAATGCAAGACAAGAAACAAGACCAACCCCAGCAGGCAAAAGGTCATCCAGCAGGACAAGCGACATTAGACAAAGCTCCATCTGAGACTTCAAATGCAGCAGCAGCCTCCCACAATGTTCCTCAAGCAGGCCAATCCGCTTGTCCACTCTGTAAGATGGTGCTCAACATGGGCTCAAAGGATCCTCCCAACTACAACACCTGCACTGAATGCAAAAGCACTGTATGCAACCAATGTGGATTTAACCCCATGCCAAATGTTAAAGAGGTAAGACGTGATATTGATTAAATGAACTATTGAAGGAATTAATGAAGAAAATAGAAAAGAAAGGAAAGGAAAGGAAAGGAAAAATAATGGGAAAATGGAAAATGTTATCTCAAAAAGTTTACAAGCATCACTATGTATTTTTTTTTCTAAGGCTGTCTCCTGAATGATCTGATTGGTCTTACTGAACCTGTCTCCTGTTTCAGTCCAGGTTTTTACATTAGTGCCTCGATGTGTCCAAACTCTTACTGTTAGTATTACATAGATACAATGATGTAGTATACTCATGAGACTTGTGAATTAAGCTCTTTGAGGCTGTTAAGTTCCCTTTTGATGCTCAGAGTGGTTGTTTTCATTTAGGAGTATTATTCCCAAATTCTATAATTCATTTACATGAGTAGATGACAAAGCATCACATATTTTCAAGTTACACGCTGAGGGTTTATCTTATGACAGGCATGTTTTAGAAATATTTTCTTCTTTTGAAGTTGTATGAACAGATAAATTACACCAACCAGATAGAAACTGCATCCAAATTGGAGTGGTATTTGACATATTTTGTGCTTACAAGGTCCAATCCTTGGACTGAAGTTGCAAAGTTTTCATTTTCATTCGATATTCTATTCACAGTGCCTCTAGTCTCTTAACAATGAGAAGGCTATGTATGAGACCCTTGCATACAAAAGCAACTCTATACACCTCTGGTGCAACTATCTTACCCATTAAAGTAAAGTAAAAAAAGGAGTGCTAAAAATAGTTTTCTTTTTAAGAGGTAATAACATTACTGCATATAGAATTTAAAGAGAATCAATCCACGCTTCTTCTAAAACGATTTATTAGCTTTTTGTTGACTGGTCACACAGCGTTAAACACTGTTATTATACTACTATACATGTGTACTACTACTTATGATACTGGAGTTGAGTCAAAGGGACTTTAAAAGCTCTATTCAAAAAGACACATACATGCCACATACACACACACGTACACCTACATGTACACCTACACACACACACACACACACACACACACTTCCCATGGTTCGTTAGTAGGGAATACCACATACAGGGTAAATGGGTATGGCATCTTCCAGGCTATCTGAAGCACAAAGGACTTGACACTTGACTCTGTAATTCAATGCCGTTAGTAGGCTACCTTGCTAAGGACAGTCCAAGGCTACTTGATCTTGTGAAACTGCTTCAACTAATGGCTAAGACAGTAGTGATCCAAGATCAGGATGGAGAGAAATCTCTCTCTCTGCATTTTGCAAGCACTCTGTGAAAGTGGATGTTTTAACATGTATAGTTTAAGTCACTGAAACATTGTAGGCCTAATGGCACTTTGCTTACATTTTTATGAGCATACTTTTGCACTTTTATGATGATAGAATTAGTTTATTAAATTCAACTTTAAAAACATTTAATCAAATACAAAGATCCGACATGCAATTGTAATAAATGCTGTGGTAATGTGGATGTCAACAAAAGTACAAACAAGGATGGTGATGGTGTGTTTCTAATATCATACAGCTTATTAAGATTTCATATGTCTCATCACTTCCAATATTTGGAGCAATGTGTGTGTTTGGGTATGTTTTTCTGTTCAGAATAGAAAATTTGAAATCTTCTCAATTCTGGCTTTTTGACTTTAGAGCTTTCATAATGATTTGTTATTAAAAAAAGAAAAACTACATTATGTACTTAAATACATAATTTGTCTATTTGTTGTGTGTTTAAGGGAAAGGAGTGGCTTTGTCTAAACTGCCAGGTGAATCGAGCTGCTGGCGGAATTGAACATCGGAAAGACAGTTCATCATTTACTACTCTAGCACAGCCTGCACTACAAAAGACTTCTGCACCAGGATCTCCTCAGAGGAAAGTATCAACACCAGCAGCACAACCACCTAAGGTTGAAGCTGCTAAAGGACCAGACAGTCATAAACAGGCCAGCCCAGTTCCTGGTCAGAAAACACCTCAGGGGAGCCGGACGGCAGGTCCTCAGAAACCACCCAACCAGACAAGCCAAACTACACAAAAGCAGGGAAATGCCACTGCAGCTGCACAGCAAGAATCAGGAGGGTTCTTTGGTTTTGGTGGTCCTAAAAGTCAGACCGATGCTGCAAAGCCTGCAGAGTCAGTGACTGGAAAGATGTTTGGTTTTGGTTCCTCCATCTTCAGTTCGGCATCCACTTTGATTTCCTCATCTGGTCAAGATGAGGCCAAAACTACACCACCAGTTTCTCCAAAAATGCCTGCTGCAAAGGACATCAAATCCCCCACTGCCAAGAAACCAGAACAGGAGAAGAAACCAGAACAATTCCAGCAGACCAAGGGTCCTCCTTCAGCACACCCAAGAGTGGACAAACCTCCATCAGAGTCACCAAAAAAAGCAGTGATTTCCAAAGCAGGCCAATCTGCCTGTCCTCTCTGTAAACTGGAACTGAATGTGGGCTCTAAAGATCCTCCCAACTACAACACTTGTACAGTGTGCAAAAACACTGTCTGTAACCAGTGTGGATTTAATCCCATGCCAAATGTTAAGGAGGTAAGACAATGAGAGTACTTTAGAATATATATATATATATAATTTACTTCAACAATGATTGTTACGTCTTTTTTATTAAAAAACAACTAATCTATTTTTTAGAAGTAAAACACATTCCATTGTACAACAACACTGATCTTAATTTTACTTATCAACTGTTTGCTCTATTATAGGTGGAGGAGTGGTTATGTCTGAACTGCCAGATGCAGAGAGCACTAGGAGCATCTGAGCCTCCAGGAACTCCCATGATGAAACTCCAAGCCTCACCAAATAAAGTCACTGTTCCTGTTCCTCAAAAGAAAGACATCTCTGCACCAGGTTCCCCTCAGAGAAAACCATCAACACTAGCAGAGCAGTCAGCAAAGGTTGACGTCATAAAAGGACCAGAAAACCAGAAACAGGGCAGCCCAGCTCCTGGTCCGAAAACTCCACAGGAAGGCCGGAAGACAGGTCCTCAGAAACCACCAGACCAGAAAAGTCAAACTGGACGTAAGCAGAGCAATACTACCTCAACTACACAAGAGGAATCCGGAGGCTTCTTTGGATTTGGCAGTCCTAAACCTCAACCCGATTCTGAAAGACCTGCTGAATCTCTGGGTGGAAAAATGTTTGGCTTTGGTTCCTCTATCTTCAGTTCTGCATCCACTTTAATGAACTCAGCTGTACAAGATGATTCCAAAACTACACCACCAGTTTCTCCCAAGATGCCTGCCGCAAAGGCAACCAAATCACCTCTTGCTCAGAAACAAGAACAGGAGAAGAAACTAGAGCCAGTCCAGTTACCGAAGACCTCTCCAATGCTACAAGCCAAAGTAGAAAAAGCGCCATCAGAGTCTCTAAAGGATGCAGCTGCTTCCCCAGCTGTTCCCAAAGCAGGCCAATCTACCTGTCCACTCTGTAAGGTGGAACTCAATTTTGGCTCCAAGGAACCTCCCAACTACAACAACTGCACTGAATGCAAAAACACTGTCTGCAAACAATGTGGATTCAATCCGATGCCAAATGTTTCAGAGGTAATAAAGGCAAAGATTACAAAACGTCTAAATTACAATAAAATATAGAATTATTAAGGGTAAAAGTAATATATGATAATAATTGAACAGAAATACACCATGAACTGTGGGTGCATGCAGGTGATATAAATGTGTCATATTTTAATTTGACATATGTTCTTTTCCCAGGTAAAGGAATGGTTATGCCTGAACTGTCAGATGCAGAGAGCTCTTAACACATCTGAAGTCACAGCACCTCCTATGAAACCTCACAATGCAACTAACAAAAGTTCTCCATCTGCTGTACATGCTCCTAATGAAGTGGGAAATCTAAAGAAGGAATTATCGACATCTGATGCACCTGTAAAGATGGAGACTCCAGTGGACACACTTCAAAAGAAGGGGAGTTGTACACCAGGTTCTCCTCAGAAAACACAGCCGACAGCAGCGACACAGGCAACTAAGGTGGCTAAAGGACCACAAAGTGACACACAGACCAGCCCAACTCCTGGTCAGAAAACTCCTCTGGATATAATGGGGTCATCAGGTTCTCAGAAACCAGGTGGCCAGGCAAATCGACCTGGACTAAAACAGATAAATGTCACCCCAGATAAACAGCAAGAGTCAGGAAACCTATTTGGCTTGAGTAGTCCTAAAACAAGGCCTGATGTTTCAAAAACAACAGAGTCCAAGACTGGGAAAATGTTTGGCTTTGGCTCCTCCATTTTCAGCTCAGCATCAACCTTAATATCATCCGCTGTTCAGGAAGAATCACGTACTACACCACCAGGCTCTCGTAAGATGTCTGCACCAGCACAAGTCTCACCCAAGATGTCTGCTGTGTCTAAGATTTCTCCAAAAAGTACACCGACAGTTTCTCCCAAAATGTCACCAGCAAGAGAGCCCAAAACTCTTTCTCAGAAGCCAGAGCAAAAGAAGAAACCAGAGGAATCCAATGAGAGCAAAGAGGACAAAGCTTCATCACAGCCACCAGAGACAGCAACAGTCACCCATAATGCAGGCCAGGCCAGCTGTCCACTGTGTAAGGTTGATCTTAACATAGGATCCAAGGACCCTCCGAACTACAACTCCTGCACTGAGTGCAAGACCACTGTCTGTACCCAATGCGGATTTAACCCAATGCCTATAGGAGAGGTGAGTGAAAGAGTACATAAACATACTCTGTGACAAAATAAACTGTCTTCATCTACTATATGCATTTACAGAAGGGTTTTCAAACTTCCAGCCCTCCACCCGCCTCCTTCTGGTCCATGACATGGTGTCAATAATAGAATATTTATATACATTAAAACTATCCCTTCCCACACAAATAAAACAAAAATACAATTCTTTAATTAAAAAAAAATATTTTGTTTGTATATGTAATAATTACAAAGGTCAAAGGTACCGTAAATATGTGAGGTGATAACAAGAGAGCTATGTTTGGGGCTTTCTTTGTTGTTTGCTTGTAAACAACAAATATGATATAAAATGAGGACTTCAGGAGAAAGCCAATTTGAGTTTAAGACCCCTGAATTATACTATATTTGCAGTCAGCACATTCAAAACTTGTTCATTTATCTTGAATCTATGAATTTTTACAATAACCTCTTTAACATCTAGTGCACTTATGAGTATGTTGCTCTCAATACCCAGCTTGTGAATTACACATAACATGGTGTCTACTTTATTTTAGGTAAAAGAGTGGCTATGTCTTAACTGTCAGATGAAAAGAGCAGTTGGCGCATCTGAGGTCCCAGGACATCCCACTATGAAGTCTCAAACATCACCTAGTAAAGTTCTTTCTTCGGCTGCTGTCCTGTTGAAGGATTCTTCCAAACCAACCACACCTCAAAAGACAGTCAGTCCAGCCCCTGCTGTACAAAAGAAGGAGAGCTCAGAACCAGTCTTACCACAGAGAAAACAGTCTACGTCGTCAGTGCAATCAGGCAAACCTGAAGCTGCTACTGCATCATTGAAACAGGCCAGCCCAGCACCTGATCATAAAACACCACAGGAAAGACAGAAGACAGGTCCAGATAAGATACCAGATCAGGCAGGCCAACCTGGCCTTTTTGGTTTTGGTGGTCCTAAATCTCAACCTGATACTGCAAAGCCTGCAGTGACTGAGAAGATGTTTGGCTTTGGTTCTTCCATCTTCAGTTCTGCATCTACTTTGATAACTTCAGCTGTTCAGGATCAGCCCAAAACTACTCCACCAGTTTCTCCCAAGATGTCTCCTGCAAAAGAGATAAAGTCCCCTGTTGCCCAGAAGCTGGAGCAGCAGAAGAAAACAGAGACATCCAAGCAGATCAAAACAGCTCCATCAGCACAGGTCAAATTGGACAAAGCCCCACCAGAGCCTCCAAAGGCTGAAGCAGCTTCCCAAGTAGCTGTCAAACCAGGCCAGTCTACCTGTCCACTCTGTAAAGTTGAACTCAACATGGGTTCCAAGAATCTACCCAACTACAATACCTGCACTGAATGCAAAAACACTGTCTGTATCCAGTGTGGATTTAACCCTTTGCCAAATGAAACAGCGGTAAGACTAGACTACAAATATATATTTAATAACAATTTCAATTTACATCTTACAGCTAACAGACTGTAACGAGTTACACCACATTTACTTTTTTCAATGTGCCTCTTGCTAGCCCTTTATTGTGTTCAAATTATGTAGGCCTTTGTTAATTATTTTCTGGGGATATTAAACATTGAAATCCCCAATTAGTCTCTGTTACTATATTTATAACAGCTGCTGAAATGTATCAGAAAAATGTTCACTGCCTTACATAAATATAGAACACTGAGTAATTATACACAGACTACAAAACAGTTTATAATGGAACCTTTTGTTTTAGGTGAAGGAGTGGTTGTGTCTAACCTGCCAGATGCAGCGGGCTCTTGGAGTGACAAAGCCCTCAGAAGTCACTTCTGTCAACTCTCAGATACTTGCAAAACCCCAAAAGAAAGACATCATTAGCCCAGCTGAACCTGAAAAGAAAGAGTCATCAGCACCACACTCACCACAGAAGAAACTGTCCGTAACAGCACAGCCAACTACAACTGAGGCTGCAAACAAGCCAGGGGGTCAGAAACAGCCCAGCCCAGTTTCTCATCAGCAAAGGCCACAGGAGCCCCAGAAAACATTAGGTCCTAACAAAACACCAGACCATACAAGGCCAACAGAACGTCAGCAGAGTAATGCCACTGCAGCGACAAAGCAAGAGTCAGGAGGCCTCTTTGGTTTTGGCAGTGGTAAAACTCAACCCGATACTGCAAATCCAACAGAGTCAGTAACTGGGAAAATGTTTGGCTTTGGTTCTTCCATCTTCGGTTCTGCGTCAACTTTGATTACCTCAGCTGTACAGCTGGACCAGTCCAAGACCACTCCACCAGTTTCTCCCAAGATGTCCCCAGCGAAAGAGATCAAATCCCCCATTGCCCAGAAGAAAGAACAACAGAAGAAGCCAGAGCAAACCCAGCAGACTACGACATTACCATTGGTACAGGCCAAAGTGGACAAAGCTCCACCAGAGCGTTCAAAGGCTGCAGCAGCCTCCCAAGCCACTGTCAAATCAGGCCAGTCCATCTGTCCACTCTGCAAGGTTGAACTCAACATGGGATCCAAGGATCCCCCTAACTACAATACCTGCACTCAGTGCAAAAACACTGTCTGTAACCTGTGTGGATTCAACCCCATGCCAAATGTGTCAGATGTAAGTGATATTTACTCAGAATGTGTGTATTAATGGTGTATTGCATATTCCATTTGATATTTACATTTCTACATAGGCTTTATTTTAAATAATATATATATATTTTTTTAACACTGTATATATGAATATATGTAATGCTATTCTATAATCATACACATGCTTTAATGTTTTATAGACACACTTACTCAAAATGACATGGTTTTCCCTACAGATGAAGGAGTGGTTGTGTTTGACATGTCAGATGCAAAGAGCTCTCACAGCATCTGAATCAGCAGATGCTCCACTGATGAAACCCAAGGCCTCACCCAACAAAGTGTCCACACCTGCTGCTGCCCAAAAATATGTAAATGCAGATCAAAAGAAAGACATTATTTCCACAGAAAAAGCAGAGGCTCCAGACAAAAATAAGGACAGTCCAACACCAGCTGCACCACAAAAGAAAGAAGAAACTAAACCCCCACTTCAAATGGATATTACCCAGGCATCAACCACTGCTTCACTGCATGAAAAAGTGGCACAAGGTACTGTTTCAGCCCCAACAAAAGAGGAGAAAACTGGTTCACCACCAACCAAAGAGGTTCTAACCTCTACTGCAACTCCCACCAAAGAGACGACAGCTGTAGTTTCAGACCTCAATAAACCACTGCCTACTCAAGCTCCTCCTGTCAAAACAGATATTGAAACTTCTCTCCAGAAGAAAAATGATATCACTTCACCAAGTTCCCCTGCAACTAAAGAAGTATCTCAAAACAAAGAGGAGAAAGATGGAATAGTTCAGAAATCAGCTGATCAAACAGTCACGTCCACTGATGAAGTTCAGCCCAAAAAATCCCTGGAAAAAGAATCAATCTCTGTTGAAACATCACTAACCATATCTGCTCCTCCAGCAGGACATCCACCAAAACAGGAATCAGAAGGTTTCTCCAGCTTTGGTAGTCCTAAATCTCAGCGTGTTGCCTCAAAAACAACTGAAGCAATGACTGGGAGGATGTTGGGATTTGGTTCCTCCCTCTTCAGTTCAGCATCCACCTTGATAACATCTGCAGTTCAGGAGTCCCGCACAACACCACCAAGTTCACGCAAAATGTCTGCCCCAGCGCAGGTTTCATCATCGCAGATTTCTCTGAAGTCCAGCCCTCCAGTTTCTCCACGGATGACTTCAGCAAAGGAGGCCAAACCACCTGCTGCTCAGAAACCACATCTGGAAAAAATAAAAGACCAGTCTCAGCAGGCCAAGGCTCCTTCATCAGGACAGGCCAAAGTTGACAGGGGTCCATCAGAGTCTGCAAATCCAGAAGCCTCCCAAGCTGCTCCCAAAGTCGGCCTGTCTACTTGTCCACTCTGTAAAGCGGAACTTAACATAGGTTCCAAAGATCTTCCAAACTACAACACCTGCACTGAATGCAGAACCAATGTCTGCAACAAATGTGGATTTAGTCCTATGCTAAATGTAACAGAGGTAATTAAATGACTAAATACTCTCTAATCTCTTACAGTTAAACAAAGCATGTATTTGAACTAATACATCAAAGTACCACTTTAAGTGTGCATGACTAACAAATGCAAAGAAAGTTACTCATGTATTGTGTTTCTTTTTCAGGGAAAGGAATGGCTTTGTCTCACCTGCCAGATGCAGAGAGCACTTGGAGCTTCTGAACCTCCAGGCCTTCCCATGATAAAACCTTCACCAAGCAAAGAGGTCCCTGTTACTATACAGAAGCAAGAGACCCCAATATCAACTTCTCAGGAAGACATCCATAAAACAGATGCACCCAAAAAGGAGCTTGCTAATGTTGCCACAACCAAAGAAACTAAATTCCCAGCCCTTGGTCCACCAACAAATGAAGTTAGCCCTATACCTGCTTCATTGCCTGACAAAACTGCGCCATCCATTGTCTCAAAGACTGAAGATTCACAAGCTTCACAAAAGTATTCTGGAGAGACACCCCAAGGACAACCTGGTATACCCCAGCAACAGGCTCCAAAAGCTGTGACATCTACTACTGAGTCTGTTCCTCCTCCAGATACAGAGACAGGAAAGCCAGACCCACAAGAGCCTCCAAAAGTTGGGACTTCTATTGCCAAGTCTGTTCCTGCACCAGATCAAGAAGCAGGAAAGCCACCCACACAAGATCCTCCAAAAGCTGGGACTTCTATTGCCAAGTCGGCTCCTCCACCAGATCAAGAAGCAGGAAAGCCACCTACACAAGAGCCTCCAAAAGCTGGGACTTCTATTGCCAAGTCGGCTCCTCCACCAAATCAAGAAGCAGGAAAGCCACCTACACAAGAGCCTCCAAAAGCTGGGACTTCTGTTGCTAAGTCCACTTCTTCACAAGATCGAGAAGTGGGAAAGCCACCCCCACAACAACCTCCAAAAGCTGGTACCTCTCCAGCCAAATCTATACCACCACCAGCTCAGCCAGCAAAACAGGAGTCAGGAGGCTTCTTTGGTTTTGGTGGTCCTAAAACACAGCCTGCAGCAAAGTCTGCTGAGTCAGTAACTGGAAAGATGTTTGGCTTTGGGTCATCTTTCTTAAATTCTGCATCCACTTTGATAAACTCAGCTGTCCAGGATGACTCTAAAGCCACACCACCAACTCCACGTAAGATGTCCACTACAGCTCAAGTCTCTCCTAAAACTACACCAACAACTCCACGTAAGATGTCCACTACAGCTCACGTCTCTCCTAAAACTACACCACCTGCCTCTCCTAAAACATTACCTGCAAAGGACACCAAGCCACCTGCTGTCCAGAAAACTGAGGAGAAGAAACCAGAGAAATCACAGCAGGAAAAGACACTTTCAACAGTACAAACCAAAGTGGACAAAGCTCCATCAGGGCCCCCCAAGGAACCAACAGACACCAAAGTTGTTCCAAAAGCAGATCTGTCCATCTGTCCACTCTGTAAAGTTGATCTCAACATGGGCGCCACAGATCCTCCAAACTACAACACTTGCACAGAATGCAAGACTACTGTCTGCAACCAATGTGGATTTAATCCAATGCCAAATGTGGCTGAGGTAAATAACTGTCCCCACAAGTTATGCCTTTGTTTTAATTTGAGTGTAGGTCTTTGCTTGCCACTGAATGTTGCACTAGAGCACCAGCATCTCAGAACAAAACAATGGCCACTATGTGACCAGACTTCATTGACAAAACCAGTCAGTTTAACAACAATTACCAACACTGGTTTGGTTAAAATAAACCCTTAATTTACAGAGTTAAATGAGCAAAAGATCACTGTGAAAGGATCTGTTGGTAATCATATCCACATATTTCAGTATAGTTTAAACTTACTTTACAAAGTAAAAGCACCGCAGTAATATTTTATTTAACACAACTTCACTT